ACACACACACACCCTCACACCAGGACCAGTTTTCCCAGAAGCCAGGAAATCCACCAGCTTCTCTTTGCACCCTGGGAAGAAACCCACATGAAAACATCCAAACCACCGCAGACCAGTACAGAACGATACGAAACAAACACTGCTGAATGAAGACAGTTACGTGTTGTCCGGTAGCCCTCAGCACGCTGTGGACAATAGATCAATAGATATCGGAGGATCCCTAATGCAAGAAATCGTATATGGCTAACAAAGTGATCTTATCTCTGTCTCATCCCTATTTGCCCGGGAATTCTGATTGAATTTGATTGCGTTAGAAATCTCTCTTCACCTGCGCTTACTCTGTAGGTGGAAGACTCCGGTTTCAAACCGTGAAGGGAGGGCAGAACTGTATCGGCGTTAATGAAATCAGAGTCGACGGCTTACACCCAACTACCTGTAGATCAGGATTCAGCGCTAACCTCTTCCCTCTGCAGCTGTTTACGAGCAGGAAAGGCAGGTCTTGGCCAGTCCTTAAATTCCCAGATCCCCCATCCCCACAACCTGCGGGCTTCTACCTGTTTCTCCTTGCGTTCTGCCGCGGTGGAGACGGTGTCGTGGCCTCGGTGCCCGTCCAGGATGCACAGGTAGCAGACGCATTCCCGGTCCCGACGGCAATAGACGTTCCGGGGCATGCCGTGAGCGCCGCAGACGATCTCCTGCAGGCGCCCGACGTCGGCGCGGACCAGGCGGTGCCGGTTTCCCGGGATGACCTCCTGATGCAGCCTGAGGTGGGCCTCGCAGTAGGAGACCAGGCACACCAGGCAGGACTTCACGGCTCTCATCTTGACGGCCGGGCAGGCGTCGCAGGGCACGTCTCCGGGGCCAGCCGGACAGCACGCCGGGGGCGGCGGCGGCGGAGGAGTAGGAGGAGAGGCAGCGCCGAGCCCGGTTTTCCCCAGTTTTTTCACGACCTCGGCCAGCACGACGTTGGTGCGCAGAGCTGGCCGTGGGGAGAAGGTCTCTCTGCACTGAGGGCAGCTGTAGACGCCCCGGTCCCAGCAGTTCTCAATGCACTCCGCGCAGTAACTGTGCCCGCAGGGGATGGTCACGGGATCTTTCAAGATCTCCAGACACACCGAGCAGCCGAACTGCTCCTGCACCACCGCCATGCCGGCATCTGCCATCTTGTGCTGCAAACGCCCCGAGACTTCCAGGGTGAAAGGCTGAGTTTCGGTTTGGGGCAGAATCGAAACCGAGTTCTTTTCGCGTTCCTGGCTTCCGGAAAGTGTTCCGCTGCCGAAAGCGCGGTCTCGGGTGTGAAGAGCTCACACACTCCCACACAGAGAGAGGTGGGGATTTCTTCTTTGGCAGAGA